GGGTGTGTTATATATATATATATATATATATATATATATATATATATATATACACACACACACAAGGGATATCACTAAATAAGTTTGTGATTCCGTGTTCCTTAAAATGGTTATCATTAATGAATTATGATTAAAATTGAAGAATTGTTTAATAGTTTTGCAGTTTAGCAATTGCCTAGCTGTAGCACATGGTAATTAATCCACAGAAGACACATGTCTTGGGAGGAAACGTTCATGTCCTCGGCGTGGGCTGTCTGGATCCTCTCAGCGGGCTTTACCCTCCTGCAGCCTCGGAAAGCCTCTGTCTCTGTCCCCACAGTGGTCTCCATGAAGAGTCCCATATTCGGTCCTCAGGAGGTGAGCAGTGTGGAAGGCGGCTCAGTGTCTATCAAGTGCTACTACCCGGCCACCTCCGTCAACCGGCATACCCGTAAGTACTGGTGCCGGCAGGGAGCCAGGGGCCGCTGCACTACCCTCATCTCCTCAGAGGGCTACGTCTCCAAGGACTATGAGGGCAGAGCCAACCTCACCAACTTCCCAGAGAGCGGCACATTTGTGATGAACATCAGCCATCTCACTCGGAATGACTCGGGGCTCTACAAGTGTGGTCTGGGCATTAGCAGCCGAGGCCTGTCCTTTGATGTGAGCCTGGAAGTCAGTCAAGGTAAGGATCCAGGTGCCTTAGACTTCTGGGGAAAAGTGAGAGGGAATCATCCCAGGAGCAACAGGAAGGCCTGAGGAAGGATCTCCTGAGAGGGCATGGGGAAGGCTATGGGTCCACCTGGAGGAAAGGACTTTGCATAATAGAACATGGAAACGAGACAGATGGGACCTACTTGGTGGTGGGGTGGTGGACCTACTTGGTGGTGGGGTGGTGGGCACTTTTCTAGGTCTTCAGGGCCTGAAACATTTCAGGTTTTACTAAGGCTGTAGCTTAGAAGAGCATGAGGAGGACAGCTTCTCTCATTATATTTGTTGCAGGAGGGACAAGAGGCCCATGAGCAGGGAGAGATTCATAGGGATCCTTAAATTCCTGCTATTAGAGCACCCTTCAGATGAAGACCTTGGGTCGCCAGAAGGCTTCTTTTAAAATATATTTTCGAACCTGAGATCCATTAGTCCATGAAAACTCTCAGCGTAAATAAAATGATCAGTTCTTGCCCAAAGTCCATAAGATTGGATGTAATAAGTGATACAGGTGTAAGTATCAAGACAGAATAGAGGAGGGAGAGATTAGTGCCAGCTTGGGAAGCCTTCACAGAGGAGGCAGCAGTAAAGTTGGGCCTTGGCAGACATTCTGACAGTGTCCCTCTGGAAAAGAGGGCACTCCAGGTGACAGGCACACCCAGCCCTCAAGGGGAACATTGAGTAGTCCTATGTTGCAAGAAAGCAAAATCACAACTTGCCCCCCACCCCTCATTCTGCAGCTCCTGGGCAGATAAATGGCGTCCACGTCTACACAGCAGACCTGGGCAGAACAGTGACCATCAACTGCCCTTTCAGGGCTGTGAATTCGGAGAAGAAGAAATCTTTGTGCAAGAAGACAGGCCAGAGCTGCATGCTAGTCACCGACTCCACTGGGTATGTGAGCCCCAGCTACAGCGACAGAGTACATCTCACTATTGCGGGTACCAGCCAATTAGTGTTTAGCGTTGTCATCAACCGAATCCAGCTCAACGATGCTGGGATGTACGTCTGCCAGGCTGGGGATGATGCCAGCGCCGACAAGAGCAATGCTGACCTCCAAGTGCTGAAGCCTGAGCCTGAGCTGATTTACGGAGACCTGAGGGGCTCGGTGACCTTTGACTGTGCCCTGGGCCCCGAGATGGCAACAGTGCCCAAATTTCTGTGCCGGCTAAAAAATGCGGAAGCTTGCAATGTGATCATCAACACGCTGGGGAAGAAGACTCAGGACTTTGAGGGCAGGATCCTGTTCACTCCCAAGGATAACGGTGTCTTCAGTGTGCACGTCATCAGCCTGAGGAAAGCAGATGCGGGGCTCTACCTGTGCGGAGCCCACCCTGATGGTGAGCCTCAGGAAGGCTGGCCCACCCAGGCTTGGCAACTCTTCGTCAATGAAGGTGAGACCCGAGAGGGGGGAGAGGGAAGAGGTACGCATTCTGGCAGAGGAGAGCCTTCCTCGCTCCCTGTGAATCTATTTAATCTCCGTCAGGCAGCTGACAATATCTGCTCACTGACAAGCCCTGGATCAGATGTTCTGTGGGCAGCTGTACACGAGAGCTATACGCCATAGCCTCTGCCTTGTGTGATCTCCTAACTCTTCTTCTCTGTCATCAAAGGCCTCTGATGGCTGTCCCTGATCAATAGGAATGAGGGGAGTGAAGCTCCTGATTGAGACCAGGCCTGTAGATTGCCTGGGTTTCAGAGAGCCATGGTGAGGACATAACACGGAGTCTCCCTGACCCTCGAGCAGTATGGCACCTCATCCTTCACACTCAGATGGAAGAAGTCTTGACTTACGTTGGTCGCAAAGCTTTCCCAGGAAGGCAATGCCCCAGCTTCTAAAATCTCCCCTCCAACATCTCTTAGGGTTATTTGTTATTCAGCAGGTTAAATCCCTGCTTCTTCTCACCCCGGAGCACTCCACACAGAGTTACCCTCACGAGACACAGTGAACCAGTACTTGAAGTTCATGGTCACTGCCCTTGTGACTCTCCTGTAAGGGGCTCACATTCCCTGTACATCAATTCTCCATCTAGCTCGGTCCTCACCACATCCCTCAGCATCTTCAGTCATCCGGGGTTCTCACGGAACTTTAACCTTAGCTTCTTGGAGAGAGGCCATGCTTCTGCTCTTGGACATGGCCCTCAGTTGGCCCTTATCTGTGCTACATAGTGTATATTTTATTTTATTTTATTTTATTTATTTATTTTTCCGTGAAACTATGGAGCATTGCTTTTGTTTTTGGTGGTACGTGGGCCTCTCGCTGTGTGGCCTCTCCCATGCTCCGGACGCGCAGGCTCAGCGGCCATGGCTCACGGGCCCAGCTGCTCCGCGGCATATGGGATCTTCCCAGACTGGGGCACGAACCCGTGTACCCTGCATCGGCAGGCGGACTCTCAACCACTGCGCCACCAGGGAAGCCCCCATAGTGTATATTTTAAATCATACTGTTCTAATACATTTTCTTAATTTGGAGAAAAAACATCTGGCCATTTTGTGGGACAAGCTAATAAACAGACAAAAACTTACCTAGGGGAAGATTTTGTAAGAAGCCCAAGGAGAAAGGCTAATAGTCTCTCTTTAAACCCCTTCCATTCTCTGCTCAGAGTAAGGTGGGGCAGGGATCAAGGTCGCCAGACCAGTGGGGAAGTCTCCTGGAGGCTGGGTGAAGGCTCCAGTGCTGGGCTCTGTGGTATTAGGAAAATCTTCACTTTCTCAGGAGGGTAAGGTGATTGGTCTAAACGTCACTCTCCACCCTGTTGGCTGAGCCCATGGGGAAGAGGCTGCCCAGACCACATTGCTTCTTCCTTCCCATCCCTGTCTGTGCTTCTAGAGACCATGATTCCCCCAAGTCGGTCTGTGGTGAAAGGAGTGGTGGGAGGCTCCGTGGCCGTGTCCTGCGCCTACAACCCGAAGGAAACAGACAGCCTGAAGTACTGGTGTCACTGGGAAGAGACTCCAGATGGCCACTGCCCGCAGCTGGTGCAGAGCGAGGGGCTGGTCAAGGAGCAGTACGAGGGCAGGCTCGCACTGTACGAGGAGCCAGGCAATGGCACCTACACCGTCATCCTCAACCAGCTCACCACCCAGGACTCTGGCTTCTACTGGTGTTTGACCAACGGCGATACTCGCTGGAGGTCCATGGTGGAGCTCAAGATTGTGGAAGGTAATTGCTGGACTGGGGCAAGAGGGAAGGCAGGCAGCCCCAGGCACCCCTCCAGTCAGCAGCAGCAACAACCCCCAACCACTCTGCCTCCCACCTTCCCCCACCTCCATGCTGATGGAGAGAGCCCACCTGCTCATACCTGTATCAAGCACCCGTCCCCGCCCCGTTCACACCTATAACAAACCCTTTCCTGCCCCACACTCTTCAAACTACCACACCTCCAGTGATCAAGAGTATCGGCTTCTTTTACAGTATATACGGCGACAGCTGAGTAGAGTATGGCTGTCTTGAGTCTAGGAGAGCAGATAACAACGAGGAAAGCAAACTGAAGTCATTAGCAAGGTCTATGGTCTGCGATAGACTAGAGTGACTCACCGTGGTCACCAATAATCTATTATAGACACATAATTACAAGTGCTTTTGTGTTCAGTATAGTGTGTTTTTTTACCATGCTGTCCAAAGAGGAAATAGGCTGTGGACAAAGCACCCCCCTAGTGCCCCCGTCACTTTTCTGCAGCATCACCAGTGTCGACTTCTGTGCCTATTTCTGCCTCCCTGCTCCAGGAGAACCAAGCCTCAAGGTACCCAAGAATGTCAAGGCTTGGCTGGGAGAGTCCCTCAAGATCTCCTGCCACTTCCCCTGCAAATTCTACTCCTACGACAAGTACTGGTGTAAGTGGAGCAACAGAGGCTGCAGGGCCCTGCCCAGCCAGGACGAAGGCCCCAGCCAGGCCTTTGTGAACTGCAACCAGAAGAGCCAGATCGTCTCCCTGAACCTGAACTCTGTCACCAGCGAGGATGAAGGCTGGTACTGGTGCGGAGTGAAGGAGGGCCACCAATACGGAGAGACCGTGGCTGTCTATGTGGTGGTGGAGAAGACGGTGAAGGGTGAGTCTCCGAGGGCCATATGCGCACGTACCCTGGGGCCCCACAGAAAGCTGCCTGAGAACATCTCCGTCAGGGGTGGCCCCTAGGTTTGGCTATAGGAGACGGGGGTGGGGAGGGAGGTAGATTACGCCCCCACCTCATCTAATTTAGCCTTCCAGAAAGGGCATCCCAATAAATATACAAACTAATTAAAAATAGTGGATTTGCCATTTCACCTCAGTTTCAAGACAAGTCCCATAGTTGCTCCTTCAGGCCACTTTGAAGCCCTTTCTATACAGAAAGATCTTCTTCTATACGTAGAAATGTCAAAGTCACTGTTATATGCATCATACTCTGCCAGAGTCTGCCAGATAACCTTCATGTACAAGGTCTGATAAAGAAAATTGCGGCAGTATCTTCTAATAAGTTTGCATTTCAAGCCTCTTTTTAAAGTATCACATGAAATGTTTTATCCCTAATGCAGGTATTTTTAGTCCCTCCAGAAATCCGATTATGTCAGCATCCAGTTGCTCAGGCTCACTGAGGGAGGCCTAACCAAGCTACCACCAGGGGTCAGCACTATGGCGCCCAGCCCTGTAGGCGAGAGGCCCTGGGCAGGGTTTCAAAGCTGTGAAAAATCTCCCTGTCCACAAATGATGGGTCAGCCCTTATGCATAACTGGATCTAATGACACGGAACCTTGCAGGCGGAAGTGAATTTGGTATGAATGGGACCGAGATTATCTGTGACAAGCTACTGAAGACCACCAGTCCTGTTTCTAGTGTCCTTCAAGACCCTATCCTAACAGTCTTGAAATCTCACCCTGACCCTGGGGTTCCTAATGTAGTCCCACTCCTCAGACTCCCTAAACTCAAGGACAGAAAGAACCATAATCCAGCCCCCTCTGCTCTCTCCAGGGTCCCAAGATACCAGTCGAGTGAATGCTGCTCCTGGTGAGGAGGTGATAGAGCCGAGGGCCAGGGAGACCGAGAGCAAAGTCGTTCTGGGTCCCAGCCTTTTTGCAGAGGAAAGAGGAGTGGATAGTGGAGCTCCAGCTGGTGGGAGCGGAGCACCTGCAGATCCCGGCAGGTGAGGAGGGATTTGGGGCTCCCCACCTGGAGAACATTCTGGAGACCGAGGACCTGAGGTTGGGCCACCAGGCCCAAGGAGGAGAGCCTGTCCGCTTCTTGACAGCGGAGGCAGCCCTCACTGCCTCGGTTTGTGCTCTCTGCCCTTCTCCCGCTACCAGTGCGGTGTTCACCATTCAGTTCAATTTCCCAGTCCGGGGATGCAGGCAAGGCCCAGTCCTCAGCTTTGTCCTGTCTAGGAGGGCTTCTTAGAAGAACAGAGCTCGGGCGGCTGTACCAGGAGGACGCAGTGGATTAACCAGGAAGGAAGAACTGGCTGGAGACAACCGGCCAGCACCTCCTGGGATCCCTAGTGTCCCTTGCAGGGACTAACTAAATTAATGCTCCCTCCAGCTCTGCAGGACAAGGTAGGAGCTCCAAAGCGCTGGTCTCCACCCTGGTGCCCCTGGCCCTGGTGCTGGCTGCAGGGGCCGTAGCGATTGCGGTGGTCAGAGCCCGACACAGGAAGAATGTCGGTGAGTCCCGGGGTGCTCCCTGCCCCCCACCTCCAACCCTGAGCCTCAGTCCTGGCTCAGAGGTGCTGAGGGGAGTTGCCATGATCTGTTCCCGTTCATCAGCTCAAAGGAAGGGTCCAGGAAAGTGAGGTGGGGAATGATAAATCCACACATGCTCAAAACTTACAGTAAGTGCTGTGGTCCAAATGCCATCATCTCTGCTGGAAGTCCATCTTCAGTTGCTGGGGGTCTAAGTTCAGAGGCGTAGCTGCTGGGAAGAGGAGGGCAGGGTGCTGGGAAACCTGGACTTCCAGCCTGGTGTGAGGACCAGTCAGCTGTGTGAGTCGGGGTGTCCCAGTTTCATACCTCTGGTTTCCTCACGGCTCAAGACAGGGATAAGAATAACCATCTCTGAGGACAAAACAAGGTCCTGGGCATTGCAAGTTTGCAGAGTGATGAAGAAAGGTCAGCGACTGTTGAGTCTAGATTGTCTGTGCAAAGGGACTGGGGAGGAGACTCGGGTCACTTCTAATGTGCCTTGGGTCCTAGTCAGAGACAAGCCGCAAAGAACTTGCCCCCCTTCAGCTCTCCTGTGGGGCTCCCTCGGGGACACACCGGCCCCCATCTCTACACCAACTCCTCTTTGCCCCCTGACAGACCGGATTTCAATCAGGAGCTACAGGACGGACATTAGCATGTCAGACTTTGAGAGCTCCAGGGATTTTGGAGCCCATGACAACATGGGAGCCTCTCCAGACACTCAGGAGACAACTCTCGGAGGAAAAGACGGTACATCCCTCACTCAAGGGAATGCCCAGTCCCTGGGGAACAAGAATTAGCCCTGACTCCACATCTGGGATGGGAATAGGAGGCCAGGGAGGGCTGATCCACCGTCCCCTGCTCTTCACACAGAGTTCGCCACCACTACCGAGGATGCCGTGGAGAAGGAAGAACCCAAGAAGGCGAAAAGGGTGAGAGCAAGGAGGGAGAAGGAGGCCTCACGTGGGTGGCGAGGAAATGCAGCATGAGGGACTGCAGTTAGACAGCAGGAAAAACCACGTCAGAGTGGGGCTGGTGCCGGAGTAGGGAAGGGGGTGTAAACAGTATTTGGAAAGTGCATCTTTCTGGTTGTGGTGTTGACCTGGCTGAGGCCCAGGCAGGAGGTAAGCTGCGTTTATAGGCTGTAAACTGGCAGGAGGGAGGGAGACAGCGGTGGGCGCGGGGGCAGGGGGGGGGCAGGGGGAGTGGTTGGCAGGGGATGAAGAAGGCAAATGCGTTAAAGATTCAGCCACAGGGTGGGCAGGTCAAATGTCAAACGCTGGCAATTAGGCGGGTACCCTTCCCAGGCCATGGGACCCATAGACTCAGGTCACCACCCTCGCTTGAGGGTTTGCGGGAACCAGCGTTTTCCCTGGGCCTGGAAGACATTTGCTCATGGGAGGCACTGATAGTCACTAGAGGCCCCTTCCCACCCCAACCAAGTGCCACGTCACGTGAAATCCTGCCTGCCTTTGGGTCACATGTTACCCTCTCCTCGTACTTCCCTGATCCCAAGGCACTAACGCTTGTTATCATATCCACTCTCCCTGGCGGCAGCAGAGATCCCAGCACTGGGAACAATTAGGGGAATGAGTCAGTTCTGGAGACAGCCTTCCCCTCCAGCCTGGTGTTGTGTCTCTGATCTGGTAGAGAAAGAAAAATGTAAACCTTGTAGCTGACGCCAGCCTAGGCCACCTTGGCCGTGACCGGGGGCAGGGCTTCCGGGGACGGGCCCAGGCAACAGAGATGGTTCCACTCCATGTGTTGGAAGGAGGTAGTGAGACAGAGGGAGATATTTTTAGAAGCTGCAACTTTCCATTTCTCAAAATTAGTCCCTCTTGGTGAGCACGTGGCTGGAATGAGAACAGTGGGTCAACACAGTCTTGGGTTGTTTAGGCCAAGATTATGAATTTAGGATACTTAGTGCATCCCCTCCCTCCGACCCCCACTCTCTGAGCCAACGCCCCAAACACTGACCCCTCTCCTGTTGCCCCCTAGTCATCCAAGGAGGAAGCCGACAAGGCCTTCACCACCTTCCTGCTCCAGACCAACAGTATGGCTGCCGCCACCCAGGACGGCCCCAGAGAAGCCTAGACAGAGCCCTGGTTGCACCCATCCCTCCGCACGTGGCAATCACGTTCTGAATCACGTTGATCCTCAGGGCCCTCAGCTCCGGGCCTCCACTACCTGCACTCACACCCCACCTAGGCTTTTCCTACCTGTCCTCAGAGGGTATGCTGGTCCCTTCTCGGTGGCATCCAAGCCTGGCTTACTTGTTCCTGTTGGGGGTGAGGTGACGTGAGGCATTCCCACCTACAGCTTATTCCTAATGAAAGAACTAAGGTGTGGAAGGAGAATTAAGATCTAAGGGGACCTCTCAGAAAGAAAAGGGACCACAGTGGGTGGAGAGACAATTTCAGAAAGCCATTCAGGGCTTCTCTGCACCCTTGTTTTGGGATGTCAGTGGGATTCTCCCTTCCACTCCATCCCCGAATCTCCCAATCCCCCACTCCCTTCCATCTTCTCTTCTTCTTTCCCTCATTAAAAATACGCATTTGGATACTCACTAGATTCCAGGTGCTCTGCTAGACACCAGGACACATAGGTCACAAACCCGGCTAGCAACCTTTCTAAAAACATCACTGAGTCCCTGGAAGCCACAGCATCTCTGTGTGTTTACACTCACTAAAATCCTCATCAGGTGTTCTCAACTCTGCCTATACTGGGAGAAACCATCAAAGGTCTGGAGTCCTGAGGCCTTGGGGATTATGTAACGTGGGCATACATACAAGGAATCAAAAACACATTCTTACCATTTTACAGGTGAGAAAATTGAGGTCCTAAGAGGTGAAGAAATTTGTCCAAGGGCAACAAATGAGATACACTAGTGTCAAAGCTAGATTTCGCATCTCCTGTCTCCATATAAGAGCCTCTGCTCTCCTGATGGAGACAGAATTCTACAGGAAGGAGGAAGAGGAGGAGAAAAATGTAAATAGTGACTTTCACAAGCCCCACCTCAGGGAAGACACCCCTTTCCCTTTTTGTCACTCACAGAGACCTAATAGTGTAAGAGAATGGTCAAACACTCATAACCCCTGTATTTGAAGAGTTCTGCGTGAAAGGGGAGAAAAGAGGGGGCTTGATGGTGCCAGGGAGGGGCTGATCTCCAAAGAGCTAAGGTTTTAAGGTCTGTTTCCCTCTAAGCTCTGTACTTCAACTAGCACCTACGAGCTGGCACTTGCTAACAAATCAAAAATGTGAATTAATTAATAATTAAAGACAGTGATTGCCACCAAGGAGGCTCAGACTGCATTTGTCCCCCAAACCACTTGTTTCCCAAGCAACCCTTTCAGAGCAGTTTGCTGTAGTCCCACTTTTAGACACCCCAGGACATGTATCTAAACCAGAGTTCCCCCCACCTCCAATGCTGGGCTGAGGGAGGCTAGGGGACAGCTTGCAAGTGGGACCAAGATTCTCTTCAATAAGAGAACACTTTGGGGTCTACACCAGTGGTCAAGATGCCAAAGCTCTGTAATGAAAGACTCTCTATGATGGAATAAACTGAAAGCAGATATAACCAGTGCTCCTCTTAGGCATTAAAAAAAATCTTGGTACAGCATCCATGGAACACCTGACCTTAAATCTCATACCTCCCTGGGGTATCCTCCAAGATCAAGAGGCTATTAATCAAAACTCAAGTAACCAAATGAATAGACTCCTTCCATAGACTAGAGGCTAATTAGATGATGAGTTAGGTTTTAGAATAGTTGACCCAAAGCCTCTTGGGGGACAGTGATTAGGTAAGGGACCCCCTCGTCTCCTATAAACCTTGGCATATCCTATAAGCCCCTGTGCCACCCTTAGACTCTTCTTCAGGGTGTCAGTGCGTAGAGAGTTCTCTCTTGGAGAGAGTTCTTCCTGGCCGTCTAGCCCACCTGACGTGGGATAGAAACTATGCCTCTATCCGGGCCTTGAACATAATCCTTTCCATGCTATGTGCTTCCCCAGTCTGGATAGCAAAGCATTGCAGGAGAACCAAAACTACAAGGTATGTTAGAACCCGTCACTGTTTTACCCTCAGGAAGCTGCTCTCTAACGCACCAAAGAGTCATGCCTGGGGCAGAAGAATTAAGATACAGCTTCTGTGTTAATGCAACAACCTACAAGCCAGTCCTGAACTTAGGCAGTCTATCCCAGTCCCTAGAATCAAAGGCCAAGAAATGTCACTAAAGCTGCATTCTTGTATTATTCTTAACCGACATTGTCAACAGGTGATAGCAAGTTTAGTAATATGTCCTGCCCCAAATCCACCTGCTCCGCATGCAGCATGTTGGACAGAAAAACCCTCCTATGAAGAAGTCTATAGCCTAAATGGGATCGCTAATAAGTTAAAAAGTCACCAATTTGTGGGAGTATATTAATTTCCTAGGACTACTCTAGGAAGTACCACAAACTGGGTGGTTTAAAATGACTGTAATTTATTTTTTCACCATTCAGGAGTTTAGAAGTCTGAAATCAAGGTGTCAGCAGGGTCGGTTCCTTCTGGAGGCCCTGAGGGAGAATCTGTTCATGTCTCTCTCCTGGCTTCTTGTAGCTGCCAGCAATCCTTGGCTTGTAGATGCGTCACTCCTGTCTTTGCCTCCATCATCACATGGCCTTCTCCCTGTGTGTTGCCCTGTGTCTTCACATGCTTTCTTATAAGGACGCCAGTCATTGGATGGAGGACCCAGTCTAATCCAGTTTGACCTCATCTTAATGAATTACATCTGCAAAGTTCCTGTTTTTAAACGAGGTCATGTTCTGAGGTTCCAGGTGGACATGAATTTTGGAGGGACACTATTCAGCCCAATATAGGGGAGTAACAATCAACTGTGAGGTTGATAATGATAAATCAAATAACAAGGATTAGTGTCCAGCAACCACGCAGAGAACTATTTCAATATTTCTGATGGCAAGAAAATCTTCCTCAAGTTCTTGAATTATCTTGATTTTTTTCTTTTTAAAAATCCATTATGTAACAATGATTACACATTACTAAGACCCAAGAGTGGTTGGGAATCTGTTTATAGCAGTTGATTTTTGTTTGCAAAGCAAAATATGTATATATATATATATATATATATATATATATATATATATATAATTTGTCCAGGACTTTCCCAAGACTCAGGATGGGTCATCTCTCCTAAGAACAGCAGACAGCAGAGAGGACCTGACTATGATATGGTCTGTGAAGCTGGTCCCCAAGGCAGAGAAACAAGTAGGGTTCCCCATCCCCAAGCTTTTCTGAAGTAACTCTACGATGGAGCCTGTACAATAAAAATTATGAGATCATCTCAGAAAGACTACATATCTAGACAGGGGCACACCGAGAGAGAAGATCTAAAACTAAGATCAGCGGCCCCCAGCTGGACAGGAAGCTGAAGCAGGAAGGGAAGGAAGATAATAGAGCTGTAAAATTCAAGGAGTTCTGGAAGCTTGTAAGGCTGATAAAGAAATGGGTGGCCAATCCACCCTCACTACAGCCAAAAGTCTTTGTTTAAGTGTATGAAGCTGAATATTCTAAAATCTAGGTCTTTGTGGACAAATCACGTTAAAATTCGTCCAAAATTTCCGCATATTTGGGTTCTAACCTTAGAACACCAACAGGAACATGACCGTATTCAGGAAAGAAATTTTACCCAAACTCCACCATTTCTTGTCAGAAAGTCATGAGTCTGTTTACTGTAAAGGTTAACCTTCCCAAAGGCCCATTCCTGGGGAGCAGCTCCCTCTGGGATGGGCAAGCCTGTGGTCGAAGTTCTCAGAAAGAGGGAACTGCAGGATGCCTGAGCCAGGTGTCTCTACCTGGGCGGGCTCCCCAGTGAGTCCAGGGGGCAGGGCACTCTCACGGTCTGTCTTTGGGGAGAGCAGTGCTGGGTCATAGTGAGGGCCACCTGAGGATCTCAGTCCTCTCTCTGGAAAGGTCAGGAGATGGCTCTTCAGAGCCTAGCCAAGGGGAAGGTCAAAGCAGGGTGATGCGATAACCAAGCAGAAACATAGGACAACGTCCCCCTGATGACAAGGGCTAGTCTCCTCAGCGCTCACACTATATTCCAGCCCTAGGTAATACCTACCTTCTGCAGCCCTCACAAGAACTTTATGAGAAATGTTTTCACCCCATCTGTAACAGAGGTAGGATAATAAAATCTCAGCTGTTATGGAGAGTAGATGAATTTACCTGAAGGACTTAGCACAGTTCCTGATCTACCTGGTATTATTTATTCCCTCCACCTGCTGGTCACTGGGCTCTGAATTTTTTCCTTTGGGTTATCCCTTCTGGCCAAGCCTTAGCATGACATGAGGCCACGGAGTCCCCTGCCCGTCGGGGCGTTGCAGCTCCTCAGAGCTTCTCTTGTGAGTGGGGGCACCAGAGACTTCCAGCAGCCCTGTCGGTCAGAAAGGAGAAATAGAGTGTAGATGGGCAAAAAAAAGCGAGGGAGAAGAGAGTGAGGATGGCTAACTTTTCCCACTTGGCCATTTAGCCAGGAGTCAGCCTTCCCCTGGGGCCACACCCCTAAGAACCGGGGGCAACATCTGAAGGTAGAGACTAGACGGCCCAGGTCTGCGAGCTTTAGTCCCTCAGACTCCAAACATTCACTTCCTCCCTGGCCATCCTCAGATCCCTAATATTCGCTCTTAAAAGCCCAATGTGATGTTGTTAAGAGTTTTATTTGGGCCACACATGATGTGAAACTCTCTCCTACACGCTCTTATCCCACACATCCCTGCACTACCTGGCAGACGCAGCCACAGCCCAGCCAACCCCTCGTCTTCATAGACACATTCACACACACAGCACGTTCACACTCACAGCCACGCACCCACACACACACAACCACACATACATTCACACATCACACACACACATTACTCCACACACGCACTCACACACTAACATCACACATAACACACTCCTGCACCGCTCCTCCCACTGTCACACACTCACACATTCCGGTCACATACCACTCACGCTCACACATCACACTGTCACACCCACAGTCACACACACACACACACACACACACACACACACACACACATTTCATTCATTCATTTATTCTGTCTCCCTCCAAGGCATCCCAGGCCTCGGGCCTGGCAATGCCAGAGCCCAGCTGTGCACCAGCTGCAGGGCTGGGAAGAGGCCTGAGTATAGGGAAGGGTGGAGGCTGACGGAAGACCCCCTAAAGTCACCCACCTGAACCAGAGCCTGGAGGCTGCTCTCGACACCTTGGCAGGGGCGGGGAAGAAATCACAGCTGCAGCTGCTCTGGGCTGGTGGGGACCCAGCGCCCCGCCACCCACACTTCCTCTGCACCTGCTCCAAGCCTCACGCCCCACTTCCTCTGCGGATGTTGTCTTTTGTGTTTTGGAGAGCGTGTGACAGACCTGTGTTGTGGGGGCTGGTGGGGCCTCCTGGAAAGGTATGGGGACAGCCAGAGTCCCCTGTGGGCACAGGAGGCTGCAGCGCCTGGAGGTGGGGGCCCTGGGAACCAACCTGTGGACAGGGATGAATCATCCAGGGATGAATGCTGAATCCTCCGATCAGTAGCATCCTCCACGCCTCTGCATGAGGGGCTCTAGAGACACCTGCGTGACCATGGCTTCTGCAGGGCCTCAGGCACACTGTGGGAGGGAGGCAGGGCAGGCACCATCCCATTTTATCCATGGGAGAACTGAGGCCCACGCTAGAAAGTGCCAAGCCAGCAAGAGAATCCAGGGTTCTGACTGGAGCCAAAAGCTCCTTCCATGATGACTCTCAGTGTCCCGGCCACTGGCCCTCGCCCTCGACCGTCAGGGTCCTGAAGGGTAGGTCTGCCAGGTTGCTGTGACTCTAGGCAGAGTTGCTGTGTGACCTGTCACACCCTTTCCGGGCATTGCCCTTGTGGTCACTGGACTGTGCCTGGGCTGCCGTGAGAGGGCAGCACCTTAGGG